TTCTCAATGGGCTTAGGAGTTCTCAGCTCTCAACACACTTAAGACCAATCAGCCTTTCCTCTTCTCTCTCTCATCTCCAGGTCGACAGGAGTCTATGGAACGAGGTTGAACTCTGCCATATCTTCAATACTGCTTTTCCCCACCTCCACTCACCAGTAGACCAACATGGTTGCCAGCAAGCTTATGTGCCTGCTCATGAATTACCTTTGAGTTTCAGTCTTAGAGGGGCATTTGTCCTGAAGGGTCTTAACTGCTTGCCTTGATGGCTCACTGGCAAACCACTTGCCAGTTCTTACAGTAGCCAATCAAAGTATTGTTTTCAATTTTTCCTGCTGGTCTTCCTTTCAGGAAGTATCTTCTGTTTCTACCAGCTACTCCAGGCTGGTCTACATGTCATTTCAAGTGGGAATGTCCCACATCAGAAGGTTCTGGATGGGGCTTAGGATTCCACATAAGGTCCTATACACTACAAAGTCTCCCCAAGGAGCCTATTTCACTGGGCAAGTTCTAAACATCCCCTTTAGGTATTCTAATCAGTTATAGGCTGAAGACAGGCTTACGAGTTTTCTGTAATCATGTTTTGTGATATTCCTTTCTATCCCACTCAAGTGTCTATTTTATAATAGTAGGCAAAGGAAATCAACATTCATAAGACAGTCAAGCATCTTAACATTATTTCCCCTCTTTTACCCATTACCCATTCAGACTATGCCTCGATCCCTGTATCACAGAGCCCTGTTGTTCCAAGGTTGAGCATACATCACCATTTACCTCTGTCCCATTTAGCCCATGGGAACCTGCCTAAGTGGTCCCCTATCTACCTTGTTCTTCAATCTCCCTCTCCTTTATTGTGTATTGCTCTTCCCAACATCTGAACCAAACCATGTGTCTATCACCTAAACTGTGCTCTACCATCCCCTCCCTCCATACCTGGTAACAAAAAAAGATTTTTTTTTTTCCTTCTCTTTCTCTTAGTATGGGTATCTTTTCCTAAACTTCATATTTTTAATCTTTCCTTGTTCTTCTTGGATTTTTATTTTCTTGATACATTGTGAAGTATCAATTTTCTTTGAGGTTACCCAATATTCTAATGATTTTTCCTCTCTTTAAAAGTCTATTTTATTTTGAAATCTATCTGACGTCTTCATCACCTGGATCTCTATTCCTATATTTTTACCTTCTTTCACATTGTAATTGTTTTGATCATAGACTCAACTCCCAGATCTTCTGAATTCATTCTTGTAGTTTTGTTCTGTTCTGGACTCTTCCATTTGTCAATTGAGTTTCAGGTGTTGCTGCCACATATGTCAATCTCTGGTTGTTGTCTGTTTTGTTGGTTCTTAGTCCAATGAACTCCCTAATAAGCCATGGTATTTTCAATTCCCCCATATTCATGTGAAAGTTAGACAATGAATAAAGAAGATCATAGAAGAATAGATGCATTTTGCTTTTTGGTACTGAAATAGAATATTGAAAGTCCCATGGATAAGAACTAACAGATTTGTGTTAGAAGAAGCACAGACAGAATCTCCTCAGAAGCAAGAATCGCAAGACTTTATTTCTCACACTTCAGGAATATTATCAGGAGGGACCAATTCCTTGAGAAGAATATAATGCTTGGTAAAATTGAGGGTCAGCAAAAAAGAGGAAGACCCCTAATAAGATGGATTGGCACAGTGACAGCAGCAATGGTTTTAAGTGTAACAACAGTTGTGAGGATGTAACAACAATTCACTCTGTGGTGCATAGAGTCACTGTGAGGAGTAACTGACTCACTGGCACCTAACAACAACAATAGTGATGTGGGGATTCCTATAATTTAAGATACTGTAAAAAGGTGTAAGATACTGTAAAAAGGCAATGTATGTGAAACATGAATATAAAATCAGTCCAGTTTTTATTAATGATGCAAATGTACAATTAAACAGTAAATCTATTTAGATTGTGAATTACTTTAATGAAGGGAATTAACAACACATGACTTGGTACAAACAGCAATTTTTAAAAATTCATTGCTGAAAACAAACTTTGTAATATTAAATAATATAACATTTCTCAAATTAATTCACATAAATTTGAGGACTAAGGTGTAAAAATGTATACGTATTGAATCATCTCAAGAACAAACAATGTTTATTGGGATGGATGAAGATGCTTAAAGCCCATGTGTAAGAATAAGAATAGAAGATCATAAAATTACCTTATAAGCCAAGAATGGATCTACTGTCCAAAGTATTATAGC